TATTTTAATTTCGAAGTTTATTGTCAATCAATCAGTCATATTCGTGTGTACTCGATCAATAACGACTTATACTAGAACATGAAAATACATTTACAATCAAAATTGACCATTTAATTATTATTATTTTTTTTTTTTCATAAGGCATACCTAACATATATATTAATCTATACATTACACTTCTATATGAAATAAGAAAAAAAAATTTAACAATAAATATTGATTTTAGTTATTATATAAGAATGGTAAAAAAATATGCCAAATAAATAGATTAAGTCTAAAATTTAAAAAAGTTGAACATCTATAGAAATATAATCTGGAGACGAAGAAGGGAACACTCACAAAATTCCAAAGAATTTAGATGTCGATTGAAGACTCGGACACCGATCAACCGACAATAACATATATTATTAAGAATCTACACGGTTGGAATAGTTGACTGACAATAACATATGTTATTAGGAATCTACACTGTTGGAATAGTTGATTGACGGTTTAGGAATTAGTGTTCGAGAATTGTTGGGAGGTAGTCTGAGGCTAATTTAGGGAATGATCATAAGTTCATAAGTAAAGGAATACATCTCCATTGTTACGAGGCATTTTTGGGAAACTCAAAACAAAGTCATGAGAGCTTAAAGTAGACAATATCGTACCATTCAGAGATTCATGATTCCCAACATGGTATTGAAGTCATGTTTTTACCTTAGTCATGTCAATAGAATCCTTAAACGTCGAACAAAGAAATTGTGAGCCTCAAACGTGTAGTCAAAAGTAACTCAAGTGTCGAACAAAACTCTAGAGAGTACTTTGTCCGAAGGGGAAGGTAGTCTCACATTGACTAATTTAGAGAAGGTTGATTTTACTCTCAAAATCAAATTTAATCTTTTGGACTATAAAGATAACATCAAAATTGTTGACTAATTTACTCCAATCTTGGCTGTTCTTTCCATTTTTAGTATTAGAAAAATGTTCTTTCCATTTTTAGTATTAGAAAAATGTTGTTAATCATAGAAAATTAGATATAAAAATTTGGTTCATAATTTAGGAATTTTTAGGGTTAGAACAGATTGAAATTGGACAAAATGGTGAAAATAGGGCTAAACGAGAAAAAACTCAGGAAAAAGGCAATCTATAAAACACGCTACCTACACGTCCCAACCATGCCTGTATCCAAACCTGGCCAGCCCAACTTTCAAGCCTATTGTCACGACCCAACCCAAGTTTGCTTTCCGCAGCCAAGTTTGTTTCACCGACCAACTCAATGTCACAATCGTACTCTTGTATAGTGGATAGCGATTGTGCGACACTTGTTCTAACTTGACGAATAAGTTAGTCGTATGGAAGTTGGACTTTGTGGACAACCTTAGCCTCTATCAAGCCTCGAGTCACGTTTGAAAGAAATCAATGTTAAGTTAAAAGCGAATAAACAACAACAATGATTTTGATAGCATATAACTTAGGTAGGAAGAATTGACAACTAGTCACATTCCTTACCGTACATTTTAGGACATTTTAGCCCTGGCGGTGTAGACATGATTTTGATGACCCCCATATTGATACAATAAGAAACAGTAAAAACCTATCTAACATGAAAGCAAGTGAAAGGGGTTTGAAACGGACATGCGACCATGGACAACATGTCTTGGACAAGAATGACTAGGACATCCGACATGCAACCACAGGCAACATGTCTTGGATAAGCATGACCATGACCATGACATCCTCCTCCATTCAATTGGTTGACGTTTCTGTCAACTAAATCTTCACGAACTTAGTCATGTAGGGCGAGACTAACTTCAGGTCTCTCGACGCACTTTCAATTGTTCTCAACATTAATAAGTCTCTTCCAATCTGCAAGGAACTGTTAAAAACTACTTCTCGGTTCATTAACTCTTTCCATCTTCTCTGTCAGAGTCCCCTACTTTTTTTTGCTGGAAAAATTATTCGTCGTACCACCTTTTTGTGCTTGATGTCTTTTTAATCGGGATAGTTATGTTTCAAGTTACTGACATGGACAGTAGAGCTAGTTTGCATCAATGGGAGCAATCGAGTTTTATATGATGCATTCTTGACTTTGTGGATAACTTCGACTAGTCCATAGTATTTTCACACCAGTCCCTAGTTCTTGTTGTTTTAAAATCGAAGTTGATATAACCTCAACTTGATCAGAACTCAATATCTTGAAATTTTCGTGGACGATGCATTTGACCGACCCTTCTTTTCATTCGTTTGGATGGTATTTCTTCATGAATATAAGTTGCTTAAGAGGTTCGTCTCTGTCTCCCTCCTTCAACGGAGGTGTTGACTCAGTGTCTCTCTAGCATTTGGATAATCACTAACGAGAGTTTTTGTGGGTCTAATGAACCTGACTGTGAACAATTCTTTTAGTTGTTTGTAGAATTTAGCTAGCTCAGGTTGAGTCGTATTACACACATCTATGGTAGGTGATCTGACCCCCAACATAACATCAAACTTGTAGTCTATCTGCCTAGGTGGAGATAAATATATTATCTGACTTTTTGGTCCTATGTCGTAGTGTTCTTGTAGCGGCTGCAAGATTTCTATTGGAGTGAGTATCTTGAGTTCTCCTCTTCAATCATGGTAATGGTAGCGAGTGTGAGTTCAACATCGGTAATATCCCTTCTTAACTGTAGTGTCGACATCATTTTCATCCATTTTGGTTGATGGGTGATTGTCTGAATGATTGTTGGGTTAGACCCCACTACTACTAAACTTTTCGCTAGGGGTATGGAAATGACTTTGTTTTCAAGCAAGAAATTCATCCCTAACACAATGTCAAAGTCGTCCATCTTGATAATCATAAAACTTGATTATTCTTGTCCAAGTCCCTATTTTTATCGGAGTTCTCTTTACAATCCCTGAGACAGGTAGGACTGCTGAATTGACAACGAAATTGATTTTGGTGACCGGTCATACACCTCGGTATTGACACAACATGAAATAAAAAAAACTATCTAACATGAGGTTCAAAATGGGTATACGGCCATAGACAATATGTCCTGGACAGGCATGACTAGGACATCCGACATGCAGATACAGGTAACACGCCTTGGATAGATATGACCGTAAAATACAGCGCGCGATTCCACCAGCATTCGCAAGCCCATGGCCCAATAAAATCGGCCCAAGACACCCAACCCTGCACCTACGACCCGTTTATCCAACTTGGTTTGAGCGTAGACCCATGCCTCTCCTACTTGCATCTTGGCGGCAGCGCCGGTAGTTTTGGTGGAGCAATCAGCTCGGATTTCACATTTTTGAAGGTATTTGAAATGAGTTTGTTTAGCCAAATTAAAATATTATGAACTATATTAGGAGTTTAGATAGAATCGAATAATGAGTTCTAGTGTGATGTCATGAATTCATATAGGTTAATCTGGATTTTAGGGTAACGATCTCTTCATTCAAGCATTTTCCATTGTGGACTCAGAATCTAGTTCAGTTATCTCCTGAAAAATATATTAGACCCTGTAGTTGTATGGAGCATTCGTCATGACGTGTTGTGAGATTGATAATAGCTCGTTCTTCAAAAGTTGCAGCCTTGTAACGTTCTTTAAGAAAAGTGTCACGAACATATCTCATACTTCTTTTGGTATCTTGTCATCTCGAATATGCTTCAATATCTCTTCTTCGACTGTGATCTTCAAGGTAAACATCTGTTGAACACAACTCTCCGTCGTAAACACTCGCATCCTGTAGAAATTACTACTTTGTATTGGCTTGGGATGACGAACTAAGTAGGGTAGAGGGTATTTATACTAGATTAACCAATCTACTCCTAAAATTTATCCACCTTTTTACTAAAAGACCTAAATCATTTTCCTAAATTTATTCCTAAAATCTCTAAATCATTTTCTTAACATAAATAATACAATGGTTGAGCTAAATCCTATTAGGCTAGTGGTGATATTTTAACGTTGCCTGCTTTAGTTCTTCATTTGTGCAAAACGTCACTAGAATCCTCCTCTCGTGGCATAATGTTGCTTCTGCCAACAACCTCTCAAAGGTCTTCACTTGTAGATAGAGCATCATGCATGTTACCCACATGTTCTTGTTGTTGCTCTTGAGTGCCTTGATTCATCCGGATAAATGTATAACATTACTTTAAAAAAAAACATAACTTATGCCCTAATTTCATCCGAATACTTTAATTTTGAAATTAAATGTTCTAATATAATTAAGATAATCAAGTTTTTTTTTTATTTATTAATAATGACAATTTTTGCCTTTATGTTACTTTTATAATCTCGTTTTGGCTCTCTTTCAATAATGATGCACAATGATAGATAAGGGACTTTTTTATAATAAAAAAATGCTAATATTTTGAATCTCGTTGCTTTGACTTACTCGAGTGATAGAGAATTAGATCGGGTAATAGTTTTAAAATAAATTAAATAGAATTTATAAGGGTAAATTTTGTCTTTCAATAATAGCATAATCTCAAAGAAAGGCATCAATTAAAGGGATTACCTAATTTGGAAAAAAAATTACTGAACAAATTGAAATTCAAATTAGTTGAGTATTTTTTTCTTTTTAAATTCCACGTTTGGTTTAACTTAGATATTAAAATTCTTATTAATAATAAAGAAATTGAATAATTAGGAAAACATTTTTTAGTTCAAGATAATTATAAATATAAAATGATATTTTGGTAATCATCCAAATTTAAATTTAATTTAATTAGGAAGGGAAGTAAAGAGATTTCATTACAATAATATTATTCAAAATTCAATTAATTCACATAACGAATCCCATTAGAGTAGGTAATTTAGTCCTTTTTTTTTCATTTTATTTTTTATGTCAGCATATAAAAATATAAAATCTATAAAATAAATAAATGTATTTAATCATTATAAAAATAAAAATATTTAATTAATTTAGTTACTCATTATTATAATTATGTAAATTATTCCATAAAATTTTATCCATGAAATTATTATTATTTTGGCATAATTGAGAATTAAATTTGTTAAGTGAAATGATATGGTCAGCATCAGTGAAGCCAGAGATTCCTGAACCTGCTTGGCTTCTTTTCTTGGTTCTTCTTCCTCCATCAATCACTACTCCCATTTTCAATCTCTGTTAATCTTTTCACGTAAGCCAATCGGAGTTCTCATCCTTCTGCTGCTTCCTTCGATAGCTTCTCCAATCTAGGTTTTCGTTCATCTTTTTCTTCTTCAATCCTTAATTTAATCTGTTTTCGTCTGTGAAATCTTTCATTTCAGAGCCCGATATAAGTGATTATATATATTTCTTCACGCTCTCCGAGGACCGCCGCCTTAGTTCTCCTTTGGAGGTGATTCTCTTTCTCTTTTGCGCTTTCTGGTGTTTCGTTACATGCTTTGATACCTGCGGTTGCCATTTACATCTATAGATTCGGGAGTTATTCCGGTGGGACATAGATGCGGTTGAGAATTATTGGTAGGTAACTTTCATTTCTAGACTGCACGAACACTGCGGATGGACTGGATTATTTAATGACTGTTACATTTAATGTAGCGAAAATATTTGATATCATGTTACTGATTATTGTTTGTTCGAGATTGAAGTGCGTGATTGAGGAAATCGATGCGGGCGTTTATATGTCTGTACAATATATAATATATATGTTTTTGCTGATGCATATGGAGTTAATTGGGAATGTGTTTGTTTCCTAACTCTTTTATGTTGTTCCATTTAGATATCTCTGTAAATGGCGGATCTCAAAGAGCGGTTGCTTCCACCGAAACCTTCATCTGCTATTAATCTTAGGGAGACAATTAATAATCGACCATCAGCCTCTGGGAGGGTGCCTTTTCAAGGTGTGGATGTTCTAGGGCTGAAGAAGCGAGGGCAGGGACTTAGATCTTGGATCCGAGTAGATTCCTCTGGGAACTCCCAGATTATTGAGGTTGATAAGTTCACCATGATGCGTCGTTGTGATCTACCTGCGCGTGATTTACGTTTGCTTGATCCTTTGTTTGTTTACCCTTCAACAATTCTTGGTAGAGAGAAGGCTATTGTGGTCAATCTAGAGCAGATTCGATGCATTATAACAGCTGAAGAAGTTTTGCTATTAAATTCCCTTGATAGTTATGTACTGCAGTATGTGGTAGAGCTACAGAGGCGATTGAAAACCACCGGGGTTGATGAGGTTTGGCAGAATGACGCAAATCATGGAGCTGACTTAAATCGAAGAAGAGGAAGCAGGACTTTCGATAATGTATTTGGAAACACCTCTCCTGATTATTTGCCCTTTGAATTCAGAGCTTTAGAAGTTGCTTTGGAAGCAGCTTGTACATTTCTTGATTCCCAGGTGCGTAGAAATAGAAATTTGAGCTCTTTCTTTTCATTTGTTTAATTCATGTTAATCGTGGTGTCTAGGAATGTTATGTTTATTTTTTAGATGCATATGAATATATCAGTATTGCATTCTTGCTTGGTTCTTAGTTTGGCAGAAGTGAGGATGAAGAAAAAGTGTACTAATGCCCTACCAATGAAACCATCTTTGATTGTTTATCATCATATTTTTACTAGCTAATGATTGGTTCATCTAATATGATAATATCTAAATTTGCCCATTTCCTCGAAGGCTGCAGAGTTAGAAATCGAGGCATACCCGTTGCTAGATGAACTTACATCCAAAATCAGTACATTAAATTTGGAGCGGGTCCGCCGCTTGAAAAGTAGACTTGTTGCCCTGACTCGTAGGGTTCAGAAGGTATTCTGCATTAACTCTAGTGATCCTGATTTAGGCATGTGAATGGTAGCTACACATTTCCTGTTTTTGTTCTCTATTTGAGCTGCATCTTTTTAGGTTAGGGATGAAATAGAGCAGCTCATGGATGACGATGGAGATATGGCAGAAATGTATCTGACTGAGAAGAAAATGAGAATGGAATCCTTTGTTTATGGCGATCAGTCTGTTACTGGATACAGATCAATTGATGGAGCATCTTTTTCTGCTCCTGTTTCTCCTGTATCTTCACCACCCGAATCTCGCAAGCTCGAGAAGAGCCTGAGCATTGCCAGGAGCCGGCATGAGAGTACGAAAAGTTCAGAAAGTTCAACTGAAAATATAGAGGAGCTTGAGATGCTTCTTGAAGCATATTTTGTTGTCATTGATAGCACCCTGAATAAGTTGACATCGGTATGCATTGCACCTAAATAAGTTTCTTCTCTCCTTTACCTATGTGTGATGAAGTTGACGTTCTTATTTCATTTCCCCCCTTTTAGTTGAAGGAATACATCGATGACACAGAAGATTTCATCAACATCCAGCTGGTATGCGCACGTTCTCTCTTTTTTTCTTTTGTCAGTTCATACTTCATTCTATCTGCTGAACTGTTGGGTTTTGGAAAACATAATACCTTTTAGAGTATGATCAATATCCTCCCTGTTTTGTACAAATAGCTATATCTGTAAATTGTCATATGTGTTGAGGATGGCTGGAAGGGAGTCCCACGTTGGCCAATTTAGGGAATGATCATGGGTTTATAGGTAAGGAATACATCTTCATTGGTATGAGGCCATTTGGGGAAGCCCAAAGCAAAGCCACGAGAGCTTATGCTCAAAGTGGACAATATCATACCATTGTGACGTGTCGTGATTCTTAACGATTGTTCCTTCCGGCTGCTAATTTAGTGGGCATAAGCATAAAAACATATAGAGTAAAGAGAAAATTTACAATTTGGTTAATGCTTCTAAATTGCCTTTTTTTCCGTTCTTAACCAGACCCATGTTGAAAACTGCTTATGAAAAATTCAAAACTTGGTGATCACACTGTCGTATCTTTCTTTATTTGCCTTCAATTACTCTAAAGTTTATCATGTGCAGGATAATGTACGTAATCAGTTGATCCAGTTTGAGCTGCTACTCACTACTGCAACATTTGTCGTTGCCATTTTTGGGGTGGTAGCTGGAATTTTTGGCATGAATTTTGAAATACCAATGTTTGGGAATCCTGATGCATTCAAATGGGTTCTTCTAATAACAGGAGTAAGTGGAATCATCATATTTTCTGCATTTGTTTGGTTTTTCAGATACAAAAGACTGATGCCACTCTAAAGAGAGAATTGCTGGAGGTAACCAAACGGAATGCCATTGATTGTATTAATTATTTTTTTTCTTCCTCTTAATTAATGTTAACATTAAGTGTAAGTAGATGTAGGATAAACTTGGCTGAGCTCGAGAAATTCATCCAACTCAGTTTTGGAGCCTTTGTTCTCTCTACTTACTGTGATTTAGTTTGTTGGAATGATCTTATATTTGTCAGTTAATAAATGATACGAAATCAGATACAGATTGAAATTATTTTCTGCAGTGACAACTTTTAACAAATTTTTGGTTACAGAACACCTGTTAATGGGAGTGTTTGGCTGGTTAAATTTGTGTAACTAGAAGTTAGTTAGTTGATTTGTATTCCATGTTTTCAGTAATTAGATCATAAATTTTTTAATTGTTCGAATTGCTTTAGGGTGTCAAGTTAAACGTTGTTTAAGATGGTATGTTAATATATTTATTATATTTATAAACTATAAAAATAGTTTAAAGTTAAATATCAATTATTATTATAAAATTTTATGTAAATTGTATGGACATTTTCACTCTAACTCTAATCTCAAACTTATTGTATAAATTTTATCTTTCAACTTTCAATTTCATAAAGCTATGTGGGTCTTTATTGGTTATTTTTTAAGAAAATTATGAACTAAAAGTGTAAATCATTTTAGATTAGGTGATCACTATCACGAAAACAATAAAAGTATGACCAATATAATATAAGACAAACATGACTCTCAAAAGTATGACCAATATAATATAAGACAAACGAACTCTTGTGTTCTCCCTCGCTGTCTTGTTGAAGGTATAGTAAGTTGGTGGTGAGTAGTTTGAACTTGGCTAAAAGAGTAGAACTCACAGGAAAATAAACAACTCGTGTTCTCTCTTGCCTTCGGTGTTGTTGAAGTCGATGGTAACCATAGCGATTTTTGTGACATCGGTGGTGAGTAGTTTGAGCTCAAAAAAAAAAAAAAAAAAAAAATCCATGAATACAAAAACTAATTGTAGTTCACCAAGGAGGAAGGCAACACTAATGCCAAAAAAGAAGGGGACAAAGATTCCAACGAGGGAAATTATGGAAACCTTTCGCCCACCATAGCGATTGGAGGAAAAATTGAGTTTGAGACCAATGAGACGAACCGATATTGATGAATGATTTGAAAATAAGAGTAACAAAAACGGTTGCAAATACACTATGATTCTATGAAAGTCTCATAGAGTCAATAAAATCTTGCCATGAAATTGTAAAACTCTCCCTTGATAAAAAAAAAATATATATATATATATATCATAGAAGATAAGTGAAAAAAATTGAACAATTCTTTTATAATCAAATAAATATATACCATAAAACAACATGTGGCTTCGAACAAACTTTTCTAATGAAAATTAAAACGTGAACTTGATTGAGGGTTTATATTGATATATTTATTTAAGTTTGAAGTTTAAGTTGATAAAAGAGTACCAAATTTAGAAAAAGGTTTTTATTATAAAAATATTATATTTATGAAGATTTATTTATAATGTAATATTTGCATTTTAAAATTTTAAGTTCAAAAGTGTGATACACTAAAAACAAAAAACATAAAAATTGTCTTTAATTAATCCTCCCACGATTTGGGAGCAAACAGGAAGGAATTGAAACAACCTGAATGTGATTGTCGTTACAAATGAGAACAAAGCAAGCATTCACAACCAGCCTACAAATTTGAAAACAATCAAACAAATGTCCCCTCACAAGTTTGGGAATTGGGAGACAATTCTACTACCAAATTTAGAAATCTCAAAAGAACCATTCCAAAACTAAAACTAGTAACCAACAAAGACCTCTACATAGATACCCCAGCCATGGCTCATCAACTAAATCCAGTCAGATCCAAACCAAATCAAAGCCAAAGAGACGAACAGTGCACGAATTTGCCATTGTCGTGAACCTGTCCGGGGTGTGGCGGAGGAGGGCGAGGAATCCTTGGAGGCAAGGGGAGAAGATGGAGGAGGAGGAAGAGGATGAACAAGAATGGTCACCTTCATGCCATTAAAACACTGCCCATTGCCACAAATGAAGTAGTACCTTTGGGCCTTGTTGAGAGGGATGAAGTCCTTGCCACTGCTCCAATTCCCAAAGGCCCCCTCTGTGGTGCAGTTGTCATACCCTGATTGGTTAACCTCAAACACATTGTATTGGTTCTTCTGATACCTAAATGCTGCCAAGTTTTGTGAGCGTTAGGACTTGGGGTAATGTAATACTAATTTATATTTCAACTTCAAAAGAGTGGAAACATGTCTTTCTAGTTACTACCTCAAATCCACTATGAACTAACTTCCACAAATTATACCTAAATTTGCAGTACTGAGGGACAATCCCTTGACTCTATTGTATTTGAAGTAATTAGTAAGATACTTGTGAGATCTTACATCAATGGGGAGGAGAACGAACTCTCCCTAACAGATACGTATTAAAGACTTTTGAGGGGAAGCTCGAAAGAGAAAGCCCAAATAGGACAATATTTACTAGCGGTGGGCTTGGACTATTACAAATGGTATCAGAGCCAGACACCGAGCGATGAGCCAGCGAGGAGACTGAGCCCCCCGATGGGATGGACACGAGGCGGAGTGTCAGCAAGGACGTTGGGTCCCGAAGGGAGGTGTGGAGAAAAGAACGAGTTCTGGTGAGGACGCTGGACCCCGAAGGAAAGTGGATTGTGAGATCCCACATTAGTTGGGGAGGAGAATGAAACTCTCATTATAATGGAAACATCTGCCCAGCAAACACGTTTAAAAAATCTTGTGAGGAAACCCAAAAGTAAAAGTCCAAAAAGGACAATATCTACTTGAGGTGGGCAAAGACGTTACAATACTACCTTCGAGGGCCGCACCACTGTCACCTAAACCCAGGACACAATTGGTGAGATGACTTAAACTTGTTCTTTCAAAATCATTCATTATTTACACCGACATTTAGTGTGCAATGTAATCCTATTAATACTCTTAACACAGGGGTGAGGCAGAGAAGGAAGGGAGCGGACAAATACCGACTCGGCTGCTCCTTTTTCTTCTAAGAATACAGCATTGCAATCGTGGGAAGGTATTCTAACTTTTAACCTTCTTTTTGATTAATGAGAAGGATGTCGCACCTCAACACGGAAATCATACTCTAGAACTTTTCTTGAATTCAAAAGATCATAAAAACAAGTAAAATGAAACTAAAACTTCCCTTTCAATGTCGAAAGATCTATACAAGAGAGAGAGAGAGGATTTACTACTTACAGATGAGATCGCCGACGAAGAAGGTGTGGTTGTTAGCCCAGAGAGTGTAGTTGATGCCGGGGTTCCAGCCGCGGTTGGCGCCGACGATGTGGTCGGTAGCGGAGACAGGGAAGACAGAGGCGGCGGTGCAGAGGAGGAGGAAGAAGGCAAGGAGCTGCGGCGAGGCCGGCATTGTGAGAGGGAGCCCCTAATTCTTCTGCCCTAGATTAGCGTGGAAGAGGGGGGCGAGGATTTGGTTGTTGATATCCAATGGCGTTGGGACAGAGACAGCTGTTGAAGGACCCAGCGTGGGAGACCATTGTTTACCAATAAATGGATGAGATCTGCTGACACACCAACTTTATGGGGGTTAATTTTTAAATTTTAAATTTTAAATTTTAGTCCCCACAAAAGTTTGTATTTAGAGAAAAGGACTCCTTTCCAAAACAATATTTTTTGGGCCCCTAGATAAGGTTTGTGATGGAAACAAATTTTGAACCTTAAATTTGCTTTCTATGCAATTACGTACTTGAGAAACATTTTTAACATTTCTGTCTACTAACCTTAAAAATCATTACGTGTCTCTTCCTTGAAGAAAGAATATAATGTATTAATGGTCCATTTTCGAGAGGAGTCTTTTCTCCAAAATCAAAATACTCGAGGCTATTTTTAAAAAAATTACTCAAATCAAGAGAGCACTGACTTTACTCTTCGCTCTAGGAGAACAACTTACTTAGGTAGCTAGCTTAGCGTACGCAGCGGTCAATCGATGTCCTACATTGAGGCTCTACCCCACATAACTCACTCTCTACTGGGGACAGTTTGGTGGAGCTAGCTTACTCGTTAACCATGAAAGGTTAGCAAGTGATCACGTCCCACTAGACCATATAGTCACTCAAAGTTTTGAGCACGACCCCCTATATGTACTAGTTCCAATGACTACCCCCGTGATCTTTGCCCTCCCATAGGACAGATCTGCCAGGCAAGGTAATCCAACAAAAGTATCAAGTCACACAATCCTTAACCGGCCCCATGTCTAGCTCGACAATACTCATAACGGAGTGAAAAAGGGAAGCGGATGCTTCGCAGACACTATACTTGCTACTATCGACCTACCTTTATCTTCTAGAGTTGTGGTGGTCCTCTAGGTTCGTAGGTAGCTTGATGACTCTGACTTGGACTTCTGTCTCTAAGTTTCTCTATTTGGACTCCTTAAATCTAGTTCGGTCGAGAGCATTAGCAATTGGACTCGCTAGTCTTCTCTCACGTTTTCTAAGGTTCTCTGACAACTGGAGGCATTTCATCCTAGATCATAAACTAAACAAACTAACTCTAACGTTCTAATCTTACCCGTTTCTACTATTTGCACTCTATAGGGAGATCACAAATTTAATCACCTGGAATTTATGTAAATTGAATCGTGCATATAAACACACATGCTCCTTTTTTAGCATAAAATTTTACATCCTCCTTTTTGACATAATATTGGGTATTGGAATGTGGATCTTGGACATTGAGTAGATGTGGGGTTGCAGAAGTTGTGGATATTGGATATTTGGTATTTTGGTATTGGGCTTGCTCACCTTTGTGGTGGCTTGCCTGGATATGTGTTGGCTTTGAGTATTTGGGATTTTCAAGGGTGCACCCAACACAACAACAGTGGGGTTTTCTAGTATACCCTCCAATGTTGTTTTTGTCAATTTTATATCAATTACAGGTCCCTAAATAATACATTGTGGCCCATATTCTACCAATTTCCAACCAACAAATGTGTTTCACCCTATCAGCTCTACCAATTTCCAACCAACAAATGTGTTTCACCCTATCAGCTCTACCAATTTCCAACCAACAAATGTGTTTCACCCTATCAGCTCTAATGTTAAATTAAATAGGGCAATGCAACCGAACCTGGTCAAAGGATATTGGATTCTATGCTATTTTTGTTATTTGTCCATTTGTTGAGGCATTCAAAATAGTTTTTACATTATGATGGTAATAGATCCAACTGAGCTATCGTTCCCTAAGAATATATGTATAACTTGATTTTGTGAGTGTTTTGTGAAGGGGACCAACCCCACACTGATTTCTATTATTTCCATATCCGTAGCAGTAAATTAGTTTGAACTAAAAAGCCTATTCTATAGCCTCTAGTAAGCTTCTGATTCTGTCAATGCTCCATATTCTTTCCATAATTGCCACTTCCCAATTCCCCCGCCTCTCTCTGCTTCCATTAATCAGCTAACAGATTGTGTTTAAATTTGTTAACAAAACCATACCTAATATTTTTCCTTTCATTTTCTTTCTCCTATTTCTTTATTTGGATCGAGTGTGTGCGTTGAGACATCGAAGAGTGCAAAGCATTGAAAAGAGAAAGGAAAAGGAGAGTAAGCTATGAACATTCCTTTTATGATTTTGTGTACTGATGTGGGAGAAAGAAAGATATAGTTAGATGTCTCTAGGATCAACAAATATCCCTGCTGATGAAGGTGGAGATTTGATCCAATTACACTCATCCCCTTCCAAATCTCTCAGCTTCTTGATGCACCATAAGTCTTCATTCCATGAAAATCTTCTCCAATGGGGTATGGCGGCTCTCACAGGATCCTGTTGGCCTACCTCTGCTACCACCGCCCCACATCCCACATCATCCTTAGCCATGTTATGCACGAATCTACATAGAAACTTCATCAGCCGTGGCGCTTCACTTCCTCTCATGGATAGTCCATACAAGAAATACACACCAAATTGACTGAACACGTCTGGAAATGAAGGTAATCTAAGCCATGGTAGCCATGAATCCAACACTCTACTCCCCATGCAACATGCATAAGTTAGCTTAGACACTCCCTTAACCTGCAACTTGAAAACTTCTTTAGTGTTCCACACACTCAACACTGCAAAGCTCTGAGGAAGAATCCCAGTTTCAGGGTTCCAATTAGGAAGCAGCTTCTTAGGAACTGCCATGAAAGTGCCCAAGCTAAGCTTGTTGGACAAAATGGCGTCAATGTCCATGGGGAAGAGCTCCGCATTTGCAAAGAGTTGGCGATAAATTTTAACTCCAACGTGCGGGGGAATGCGCACAATGGCAACCCCTGAGCTTATTGGCTTGTAGTGAGCATGGACAGGCTGAACCAACACTGTGGGGGATCTGAATTTTGTGTATGAAAACTTGTGTGTAAACATGTTGATGCAGGGCTGGTTAGCGCATTCTGTTGCTATATATGCATAGTCTGCACCCTTTTGCTTGCACCATTTCTCTAGATGTTCAACTAGTTTTGTGCCAACTCCTAGCCTCCTGCATTGCATAACATAGCATAACGTTTAACAATATCATACCATTGTAGAGATTTGTGATTCCAAATAGTAAGAAACATCGACAAACCTGTGAGTAGTAGAGACCCTTAAGCCCAAAATATAAGCGAGGTTCAGGGGATGATGAGAATGGCCTGTTGTGACATGTTTGATACATCCTCTTATAACACCAACGATATCTCTTGCTTCTCCATACTCTGCAACCTGTGAGACAATTCCCAAAAAAGCTTCCTATTTAAAAGGTACCACTTAAAATACACATACAAATAAATGAGCATTTACCAGCATGAGGTGCAAAGGGAAGTGGCGAATGCGGCAAATAGGATCACCCAGAAGATCGGTGAAAATAGAAGCCTTCCCTTTCTGTCCGACATCACACTGCCTCTCCAGCTTCTCCACCGCCACCTTATCACTCTCTTCACAGTATGCTCTCACTACAATCAAATTATTACTATTTTGCTCTGTAATGATTTGTAGCCTATATTCATCAGCTATCTTCTGCACCATAGCTTTGTTTGACAGAGGAGGAAAGCTCTAGTTTTAGGGGATTGTGCTTGGAGCTTCAACCCCACCATTTCCCTTATTTATACACCATTTTAGAAACTTTAATTAAGTGGGTCTCACCTTAATCCACGTTTTAAGATGGATTGAATTCATTAATCATGTTCTCCTAATGACTATGAATCATTTAATTATTTCTTCAATTATTGTTTCATTACCTCCTTTATATTCAACAAGAATATAAGGTTATAAAACAGAGAGATACTTCGAAAAGCCCCTCGCATTTATATATTTTAACCCCACTTGGTGGCTATGATGAGACCTTCATGATGCCCATGGTGATGCCAATTATGATCCGCTCAATCTCGTCCAGGTGCTGTTTCATTCGGCAATCGTGTCGAAGGAATGAATCATGGGTCTCCACAGTGAATGTGTATTATGATCAATCTCTTAATTGGCCGATGTGGGACTCCCTCTCAACTAAAACAACTAGATTTATGGCGTTGAGATAAGTTCGTGGAAATTAAGGCGGTGCATAGGATGACGAGTTGTGAAAAACATTTCTTTTTAGGGGAAAAGAGAATTTGATTTGAAATTTTGGTGGATTCGGGTCTGTGTCACCAACTTTGTTTCACAGACATGTCTTCAAAGACAGAGAAACAAAACATGGTTAATATAAGAAACCTGAAAGCAAAATTTGGAGAAGGGGATGTTCAGATAAATGTGAATATATTGGCATTATCTAAACTTCTAACACACAAAACAAATGTTTGTTGTGAAGTCAAATCAAATCAACCCAAGAATACGTTAGAATATGAATAAAGTTTCACATCAATTATGGGTCACCAATAGTCGATTTGTCCACTTTTTTTTTACGTAAAGCTATTGACAAGTCCACAGCCACTACTAGTAGATGTTGTCCACTTTGACTCGTTACATATCATCTCACGTTTTTAAAACTCATCTACTAGGGAGATGTTTTTACACTCTTGTAAGGAATATTTCGTTCCGTTCTCTCGTAACAACTCTTGCTTAATTTTGTTTTATGAGTGATTTCTAGCCATATCTATTATAACCTTCTCTTGCATAATGGATACTGAGAATTCTTTGATTAAAAAAACTATCTTACTAGATCACTCTTTGATAGAGCGGGAATTCTTTAATATATGTTAAAGGTACTAATTTGATTAAATATATATATATTCTCTCACGAAATTCTCTTTGGCTTTATTAATTTAACGGGAAAAAGAATGAATGCAATGAGAATGAGAATTTCAATCTACATTAAGGATTTGATAGCTACCTGCGTTCCATTCTTTACCTAATCAACCCTAATCTCGAGAGGTATTTAAATGGATAAATATGCCGAGCCACTAGTGAGAATTCTCCTAGCTTAGGCTAGGGCTTTAATTTTTTTTTTTTTTTTTTTTTTTCTTTTTCTTTGGAAAAGTTAGCCACCTAGCTAGGGTTGATATGGTTGATTAAAGAACATAAAATAAATATAATGAATCAAAAGTAGAGCCGTCACCAACATTATAGACTTATATTATTTTAATCTCAAAAAGAACTGAATTGGTTGTATCTGTATATGAATATCTCCCACCTTTAATTTTAAATATTTCATATACATTATTCTCTTGCATAAAGTTTTAAAAAATTAAATTTAATTAATTAGATTTATATATTCTTGTTCACACACCACTTTTGGCACATATATTATATTTCATCTTAGAATGTTCGATATATCTTTCCTAATTTTCAATATTTAAAAATAAATACACATTCTGATTGGATATCCATGAAAAAACAAAATTAATTAAAGAGGGGTGACATCATATACTAATCACCTTATTATTTTTTTTATTTTTTATTTTTCTTTCCTTTTAAATAATTTAATTCTACGGGATATTATTCTTTGGCTTACGTCTTTTTCTTTAAGATGACATGTTAAATATTCGACTACAAAGATTTATATATTTTACAAACAATAATGTTGACTAGCTATGGTATATATTCTTCTTTTAAGGTTCGAGATAGCTCTACTTTCATAACTGTTTTTTAAAATTTTGATATGAAAGGATTTGTACGAAGTTAAAGAATCTTATCAATTTGGGTTGAGGAATAATTTTATTTGTTTTGAAAAGTTTTAAAGGATCTTGTCTAGAAAATTTCGGGATAATTCTACTTTTAGAAATGTGCCTGAGAACTTTGATGTGTGATGATTTGTATATATATATATATATATTTTAAAAAAAAAGGTGGATAAGTATGAAAACATTTTAGGAAGTATGGAAAATAGAATGAAACCTAAACAAAAAAAAATAGTATAATTTTAGGATGATAATGGTAATTACAAATGAAGTAAATAATAATATGTATAAAATAGGTCAAAGTGAATTGTTGAGGGTGAAGGAGTGGATTTACCTGTTGAGTGCTTACGCTTTCATGTCTACAACTCAGTTCTTCCGATTGTTACAGAGATAAACTTAATGCAGAATATGAACTAAACCGATCACAGGAATACCAGTTACAGTACCTATTATCCAATCGGAATCCTTCCAGTAATCTCGGCCAGTAAATGAATGATTATTTAAAGTATATAATTGGTAGGCCATTAATTGTTTTTGGCGTAAACTTTATATTTGTAGCATAGAGAAATTTAATTTGAACTCCAAATAATTAGATCCACGGCTAAAGTAGTGGTGGATTCAATATTAAAACATAGTCCTTAGGCCCATGTACCCTCCATCCATAATTACAAATTTAGAAATTCAATTCTGCCTCTCTCTCTTCTTAAAAAATTCAATTCACTCCTGACCTACTTAAATTAAGATCGGATAGCTCCACCCTCTCTAATACATAAAGATTCTAATCAACCATCCTGTACACATATGATTAGTTTTCAAAAATCATCAATCAATATCAAGCGGTTAAAATCAAAATTCTGGTCCCCTTTCGAAACAAAAAATAAAAATATAGGCTCACCCGTACGCTGACCTTGGTGGCTAATACCCAATCCCACACTGTCTAATTACCACAAAATCAATATATCACATGCAATCAAATCATGTTAAACATAGGTCTTACAATAATTTAACAATACATGATGTATAACCAATCATATATCAATCACATGTATACCTATTTAACAGATTTAAAAACCAAAAGTATTTTGCTCCAAACCTCTTTTGAATGGGTTCATTCATAACTTAGAATAATTGGAACTTCATAATTTGTGTTGTCCAACCTCATTCAACTCATAGGAGATTAGTCCATTTTCTTATACACGACCACAAGAAGTGTCATGACATTCCTTGTTTGATAGCATTTATTACAGGAGAACTTCAAGAGATGCAAATGCATGTCCTAACTATCTGCAAAATCTAACATACAAGCACGTAACATGTCTTCTTGAATTTGGTTCATGTAGTCAATCTTACCATCTCATTGAGTGTTCGAATTCCAACTACATACTTAATAGTCATAAGAAATAATAAATTATAATGGGAATTAATAAATTATAGTGGGAATTGTAGCAATGAGGACATAATCAACTTTGGATGCCAAAAGTTAATGGCAGCACATTCCACATTCGAGATAGACATCAAGCTTACAATCAACTTGGCTACCCTTATTCTTTCTTATCATTTATTGCTAAAATATATATATATATATATATATATATTATAAAATAATACTTTTTTTTCTTTTAATTCCCATTATAAACTTAAAAGGGACATCACTTTTTTTCCTTCTTCTTTTCCATATCTACCTCTTGGAATATTCACAATTAAATATAAGTAGATATTAATAAAATAAATTATATCATAATTCATTAATTTCATTTACTCTAATATATAAACGACTAAATTTGGATTTTATTAAGTGAGAAAGTAATATAGAATATTGAGTGTTTGGATTAAAAAAAGTATATATATATATATTTTGTAGCACATTAAAGTCATTAATCTAAATAGAAAATTCCTAAATTAATCCCCGTTTTAATTATATCTTTTAATCCAATATTTAAATAAAAATATGTCCAAGTTTGATTTAATTTTTGTTTTAAAAAAATAGCACCATAAATGTGTGGAGGAGCATGTGTCAAGTAATTAAAGCCTCCTTAAAGTTTGTAAATCATAATTAATAGAAAAGGCGATGCTTTGGAGATTTTTATTCATTTTTTTTATATTAAATAAATGTTTAAAAAATGTTGAAAGTCGTTTTATTTTGTCAACTGCCGAAAGCTACAGCTGGGTTCCCCACCGCTGAGTCTTAGTTATTTATTTATTTATTTATTTATTTTTGGTTACATAAATAATTATCTAAACATTTTGTGAAGTGTGATGGTTTAATGATCATGTGGCACTAAGTTGATATCCAAATCTTGGTTTTAAATTCATAATCTTTTTTAATGGATACATCTAATTGTGGCCCAACGCACTCTTTATGGGCCATAACCCAATTATGGCCCAATAACTTTAAACCCGACTCCCACCACTTGGGCCCATGGCCCGTACCAGTCAAAGGGGCTACTCTGCATCTTCTTCTTCCTGGGATCATTTTCCCGAGAAAGTGGAGAGAATATTCGGCGAGAAAACTATGAGAATGGGTATTTCGACAAAAATTGGAAATGGCTACCGATTCATGGCGTTCTGCAAGTTGCTTCACCTCCTCTCCATCTTCCACGTCTCCTACTTCTCAAGTTGCTTCTGGCCTCTCATCACCTTCCGAAAGTTCTTGAACTTCAGGTATCTCCTTCTCTCCCTCTCTCTCTGATGTGCTAGTCTGCTTCGAATGTAGCAATTTATTGGTGCATTTTGCTTGCTAAGCCATATCACAGTGTTCTACGCTGTTAAATCTCGAGGAAGTTAAATTTGGGCGTTTTGTAATTTACAACTATGTTTGTGTACCTGTGCGTGCGTATTTTTAGAATGAATTTAATGATTAAAGTTCCCTTAATAGCTTAAACTTATTGGATTGGGAGATATTTGCAGTGTGGAGATAATTGTTAGTTTGGGATGGCTTTTGAGCAGTTTAACGAAAGTAAAATGCATTTGAAGTGAAAGTTTTCTTATAGAATTTTCATGATCACTTTTGATTTTTTAGCCAAAAACAATGAAAAATTGTAGAAACTACATTTTACCCTTCCAAATTCAACCCGTTCTAATGTTGGAACCCTTGGCAATCTTTGGAGCTTTAGTTGAGTTTTCTTCTTTTTGAAAGAATGAATGGTTGCGTTGTACCAAAATGCAACTATCGGAGTGAAGCACTTGGTGGAGACCAGCCTGATCAAAAGTTTATAGAGTTCACAAAGAAAAACTATGTAATTAGGTAAACAAACAAAAGATTAAGATCTTATTTAGTTTTAGGACAGCCTCAAAGAAAGTATAAGGGTAACATTATCTGTTCTCCCAGGATCCATTTGCACCCAACCTTTCTTTTGGAACACTTTCCTGTTTCCAACACTGCCAATGAAACACAGAAAACAAGAGACTACTTTCATCAGTATGTAGGAAGCATTTCGAGCCTTTTTGCTTGTCATTCTTGGGCTCCTTACAATAGACTCTGTTCTGGACATGGGGATTCAATTTTAGAATGCACATTGAATACAAGGAAGATCCTGCAACAAGGGCAAGGCCTCAAAGTTAAATTTGTGAGAAAGTAATCTTGGAAGATCCAAACAATGAATCAATATGAGGACAGTGTGGGCTGCTTCGAGTATCCATTAGCCTGGTAATGACCCCAAGATCAAAACTCTTGAAAATTTCAATGTTATCTCGGTTTGAGCTATTATTTTGCTAATAATTTGAAGAACTACCAGGAGTAAGAGCTTTGCCACCTTTTTTCCTGAAAAGAAAAAAAAAAAAAAAAAAAAAAAAAAAGGAAAAAACTCTTGAAATTTTGGGTTCTCTTCATTATGATGCCAGCTCTTGTTCAAGTCTTCTGGAAACTTGAAATCTAGAAAATGAGTATACTTTCTTTACTTGTAATTCACTTTAACAGCTTAGTTGTTGAGATCGTTAAAAGCCAAGCAGGAACTTTATTCTTGTCAACCTTTTGAAATCCTGTGGATTGTGAATCTGAAATGAAATCCTGTGGATTCTGAAAGGGCTAAAAGGAATCCTAGTATATATTTTCAAGGCCATAACATATATACAGTTGAACGCTAGTGGATTCTTACTCATTGACAGAAAGACACGTCATGTTCTTCAATTCAAGATCTTGAAGATTTGTCTCTGACATTCAAATGTCAAAATTATTGTTAGATTTTATAACTGCACTGCTTGGTATGGTATTTAGTAGATGGGAATGAGAGAGGTATTGTTATAATTTCCCAAGATTACAGTCTGATCATTAAAAGGTAAGCCATGAGACTTTTCCTTTAAAGTTTTGGTTTGATTTTATCAAAACAAAGACAACTGAGGGAGGGGAGATCTAAGCTCAATAAATGGTTGGTTGTTCAAAGATTGTGGCTAAGATTTGGGTCTTCCTTTGGTTGGACAACTTTTTTTCTGTTGATGTTGGTTTTGTTGACTATGTTGGATGTTTGTCTCAGCCCAGTTTGGATGCTTTTGGGATGGTTCATTAGTTGTAGCTTCTTTTCACATTTTTTTAGTTTTAGTTCCATAAACAATATTATAAATTTGATCACTTTACAAAGTCTTTTCAGATTTTTTTAATTTGTTTTTTGGTAATTGATGTTAAAATTTTAAATTTTAAAATTTGGAAACTTATTTAGAACCATTTTAAAGCTATTCTAAGAAAAAAAAAAAAAAAAAAGTGGTAATTAAAGTTTAAAAATCACAATCAAGTTATTCAAAAAAAAACTTCCAAGATTCAATTAGACTTACAGTTTGTCAATTTAAGCAGGTTAAGACATCTATTATTAAACAAAAAGTATTCTTTCATCTCTTCTATTCATAATGTAATCAACTAAAAATAATTGAGAATACGTCGGCTAGCTTTAGTCTAAGATAAAACAATAGGTTCTCTTTTCAATCACACGTCACATTCAAATACATAGAAATTTACTAAAAGAAATTGACTTATAGAGGTCTCCGCCAAAGTTCAAATCTAGATTTCAAGCAAATTGTTCCATTTTAATAACTTTCAATTCAAATCTAGATTCAAGCAAATTATTCCATTTTAATAACTTTCTATTATCAGAAACTTACTAAAAGAAATTGACTTATAGAGGTCTGGGCCAAAGTTCGAATCTAGATACAAGCAAATTATTCCATTCTAATAACTTTTTATTTCCGAAAAAAATGAATTATAATATAAGAAATTGGAAAAAAAAAATTAATACAAATTGGAAAACTTATTTATTTATTTTTGAGTTGAACAAATAAGTTAGTAGATTTAAATGTGTGTTTTATTTTTAAAGATAGAAGATATAGTTTGTGAGGTTGGATCACAGAGAATACATATTCAAATTCATTGAATTGATTGAAGAATTTGGGCATTACAAATTGAAACAAGAATTTGGTGGGAGAATTTTTTGTGTTTCTTTCTTTTTCAAAAATCTCAGTACTATCTTCCCATCTCCAAAAATCGGTCAAATCTTCTCTTCTTCTGTGTGTATTTACAGATTAATCTCATGGAGAATTCGCCCCATTCTTAAACCCCAATACTCCAATCCAGATTAATTAATGTTGGAAAATCTTTCCCGATATCGCCGCCGCTAGCGCCGCCGTAAAATTGGGATCTTTTGTCAACGAAGAAGCCATCTGTTCGACGAGAAACTTTTGCACTTCCGGCGACTCAAATCTTGGGTTGGAAATCGTTTTAGCTTCTGTCGTCGGTTTGGGCGGCGCAGACAAGGATCTCGGAGCTGCCGTGAGCGGCGCCGGAGCTATGCTGACAGAACGGGCGGAAGTGGGGTCGATCTGAGATGCTTGTGGATGGTTATGTTCGCCTTCATATGTGGCCACCAGAACTGATTGATCTTCTACACTTCTTTGAACCTGCAAATTCAAATTTCATAATCAAACCATGTCCAAAATTTCAAACAAAACTCAAAGATTTTAAGTAATATTGTTAAATTTACCTTCTTCTTGACAGGGCAGGTTGGGGCAAAAGAGCATTTGAAATAAGCTCTAGGACAAGGATTATCTCTAGTGACCTTTTGGCCATATTTCCTCCATTGATATCCATCTTTAACGACCTCCAAATTCAAATCAAGAACATAGGTAAGTTCATCTCCCATTTTGAAAAGTGGGTTTGTTTTTTGGGGGTAAGAACTCACCAGATTTGAATCAGAAGCTCCAATTTTGACTTGAACTGTCGTGATTTTAGCAGATTTGTTAATGGTTTCCTGTTTTGGTTCCTTGAAAGAGTCTTCATCAGTTGAGCTACTCTCAGAACTCTCAGATTTCCTCTTCTTTGAAGAACAACAAATCTCCTTTTCTCCACTTTTGTTCATCTGTTCCATCAAATGCCCTCTCAAAGTGTTGTAATTTTCACACACAACAGACAACATTTCAGTCAATTTCTTGTTCTCTGCATTCACCCTCTTCAATTCCTCCATTAAAGCTCCAGTCTGAAATTCAAAAACAGAAACAACTCCATCATTAAAAACAACACAAACTCTCTGTTTGGGAACCCAGGATTTGAAATGAATCAAACACACCCACCTCTTCTTTCACAGAAACCTTCCTCTCAACCTCCATGTAATTCCTCTCCTTCTGCAGAAACAAAAAGAAAAACAAAACCCCTCAAGAACAGTCCGAGAGAAACAGAGAAGCAAAGGAACAGAGATTGAGGGCTCTCCACTCACCGGAGCGTCGCCGGAGAATCTGAGCGGTTGAAGGTTGAGATCTAGAGAAGTGTCAACAGAATCCAACCAAGAAGAATAAGCGGCCATGAGGGGGGAAGTTTAAAAGAAGAAAAGGTAGGATTTTGGGAAGACCCAGATGGGGTTGGGAGAGGATATATAAGAAGTGGGAGTGGGAATTTGAGAGAAGAGGTTCTGGTTTGGTGTGCGGATTTTGGCATATTTGAATGAATGAATGAATGAATGGAAGGAAGGAAGGAGGGAAGGAAGGGGAAAGAGGGCCATGTCGGTCGGATTCAAAGTCAATCAACAACTCGTGCTTCATTGTTCAATCTAATTAGTAATAAAGATAGAATGGGCCCTTTACAGGTATTTTGAGGAGAAAATCTTTATCCATCTTTCGATCTTTCTTTGAATTAGCTCACGTATCACTCCATTCCAACAATCTTCAACAAATTCTACCAAAGTCTAATAGGTTTTTAAAACCTCCTTTTATAACCATTTAATTTTTACAATTTCTACTTCGGTCATGTAATCGACTGTGAATGATTGTATTCAACTTCTTTATGGATTTGTTTGCTTTTCTAAGATTGTTTTCACATTTCTCAAGTCAAATTTTTGAAAAGTAACAAACAAGTACTCACTCTAGTTTAATAATTTTTTTAAAAACATAAATTTATAAACTATACTCTTTCCCGTAGGTTTTTATGTTTTGTTATTTTCTTTGTACTTGTATTTCCAAAGACCCAAGTCAAGTTTTAAAGTAAAAAAAGTAGTTTTTTTTTTTTTTTTTTTTAAAAATTTGAAAAGTGTGGTAAGAAAATTGGAAAGAAACAAAAGAATTTCAAATTTTAATTTCGCCCTTTATCATGACTTGGACTCGTTGCATACTTTGATCGGCTACAGCCCAAATAGCATTTCTTACTGCGGTTTGAGCAAATGGTGTCCTTCTTCTTGGACTTTTGAATCCACAAGCACCAGAGGATCAAAAAAATTACCCAACCCTGTACATCTATAACCATCACAATTGTATTGTTGAAACTTGCTTGAAAATGTTTTTTTTTTTTTTTTGTAAATAAAATAATTAGAGATGTTTTTCTCTGAATTTAACTTCAATATAAAGAGATTTTTGTTACATATTTGCGATAAAGTTAGAAATTACGATGAAATTGAGTCGTCGGTCAAGTAGGATGCCTTCGATTTCATATATTTTAAAGGTTGACATTTGTTTTTTGTTTTTTTTTTCCAAATCATTTGAAGTTGACTAATAATATGGTCAATGTTACAATGGGTTCAAACAACTAAATTTTTAAGTATTTTTTTAAAATTGACATACAAAAAGATCCAATTTTAGTTTTTAAAATCACTCTTAATCAATTTTACTTTTGTTGTATTTGCTTTTGTGTGCTTTTTATGTCTAGAAAATTGACCATAAATATATAGTTTTTTAAAAAATATATTTTGGATAATTAGTTGCTGGTATTTTGATCTTTGTAAGGATGAAATTAAGTCCCACTACCATTTATTCTTGAATTACTCTTTTTATCATACTAGAATTTACTCTAATAAGATTGTCAATATCATAGAATCACTCGAGAAAACATAAACTTAAACGGAATTTGTATATTAGTACAAACAATCAATTGAGATAACAAATCTAGAAAGTGGGTTAATATTTTATTATCTTAAATAAATATTTTAAAGAAAAAAAAAACAAAACTTTAATATTACTTAATTAACTAATAATATATATATATATATATATATATATATATATATATATATATATATATATATATGGTTTACCGCATGGAAAAGGATTAGAATAATAATTGGAGAAAGAAAAAAAAAATTGAGAAAAATAAAAAAAAAGAAATTAAGGAGAGGTCTGTTGACCAGATACTCCGTTCCCAGCTGTTGTCTGGTCTGGTGGTGGAGCCTTTATCCTCTTTCTCACGTTTTACAAACATTTTCCACGCCTCATTATTTTATCCATTTTTTTAATTCTACAAAAAAACAAAACAAAATTCGCCAATTAAAAATTCTTTTCCTAAAAATAAAATCCATATATTTTTCTTTATAAAAATACACATCTCCACACGGCTTTAGGGCACAAGGTATCGCCACCTCACCATATACTTTTATTTTATTTTATTTTGACATCCACATCTGCAATCGCATTTAACACGAGACTTAAACATAAATATTGTTAATTTGGATATAGATAAATCAAAACAATAATTTTATTACCATGTTTTAATGGAAGAAAACCATATAATTGTAATTAAAAAAAATTAAAAGAGAAAGAGAGGGAGAGAAAACCATATAATTTTTTTTTTTTTTTTTGTAATTTTGAAAAAAACTGAAGTAATTTCATTTAAAATAAGTTTTTTAAATGCTTATTTGTCCTCTATAAATCTCTTTCCTTTCTTAAATTTGTTTTTTAAGAAACAAAATTGACTTTTATTAATATTCAAATTATTTTATTAAATACATCTTAATTAAGTATTTAATACTAATAATCACCGCAAACAAACAAAATTTTGAAAGTGAAGAGAGAAGAGAGGGTAGGCGAAACTACCCGTCTACCAATGTGGACTTTTTTTTAAAACTTTTTAACAATTTTTATTTTAAAACTTTTTTAAAAGATTAAATAAAATATTATAAAACATAAAAAAATATTTTACTCATTTCTTTCGTATGTTATTTGAAAAAAAAAAATTAGATTCATGGAGACTGATAGAGCTTGAACTCATAACTTTTACCTAGATGAGACGATACTCTACGAACTTAAAAAATTAGATTCATGGAGACTGATAATCACTAATGAAATCTCACCTTTACAAGCTTTAGTTATTGAATATGATTGTAGGAAGTTAATGAGAGACTTTAAAAAAATGGAATAAGTGTTAAAGGACGATAATAGCCCTAAGGTGGTGTGAGTGGAAAATGGCGAGGTTGATACGGTAAGAAGGAAAGGGAGGACTTGACTTTGACTCACAAGCCCTAATTTTCCATTTCCATCACCGTCAAAATTATTTATTTATTTATTTATTATACTATTCTAACACTTTAAAGCATCTACCCACTTGATTTTGATTACCACTTTTTTCCATCCTTGAAATTAATTATTAATAAATATCACTTTATTTTATTTATCAAATATATTTTAAACTTAAATTTTTTTTAAATTTACATACAGTAATATTTTATTCAACGCTCTACTAAATATAAAATTAAAAATTTAGAGTCTCGTGACAAAATTGGTATGAATTTTTTTTTATTACAAAAAGAACATGGGTTTGTTAGATTAGGAAAGTGGAAAATGTAGAAACGCGGGAAGAACTTCTCCAAAGACTGAAAAATTAGAGAAATTGACCAAATGCAATTAATCGGTGACGCCCACAATTTTTACTTTGAGAAGTAAGTCCATTGAACCCTTTCTCACTTTTTTTTTTCTTTGCATTATTTCTTTAATTACAAAAAAATAAAAAGAGTTGAAATGGGATGAAAATCATAAAGCTCATAAACTATTTATGCATCTTAGAAATAATAATAATAAGAGAAATGTATACGTGGAATGATGCGATTGGGTGGAAATGGAAGGGAAGTGAAACACGTGGGATTGAGTTGAGGGGACCCAGGAGACTTATAATTTAAAATAATCGATTTACCAGTCAAAACAAAGCACCACGTAATGATGTCATGCATGAGATAATAATTATTATTTTAAAAAATAATTAAAAAAAAGTCTTCCACGTTTGGAATCACAACATTCATCCATATCCATACGCATTATATTACGTGTTCACCCAACTGGACTGTTTCGATGCCACGTCACTTGCTTAATAATTCTTTCCACTTCCTTTCCTTTCTTTCCTTTTCTTTTAATAAAAATGAAAAAAAGAAAAAAAGAAAAAAAAAAAACTTTTAACTCCAAACTTCAATTTTATTATTTAAACTTTATATTTTGATAAAAAGAAATTCAATCTCACCACTTTGACTTCAAATTAGAAAGGTTTCTAAAGCATGTGATTGCTATATAATATATAACTATTTCTAAATAAATTTGCTCATTAGAGTATTTTCAATTTTAGGATAGATATTTTTTTTTTAATTTCTCGTCTCCTATAATTATGTTGTTATTTCTATTAACGATTTCAAGGTATTATTCTATCAATTTTATCAAGTTTTGGTAAAGAAAAAAAAAATCAATAGAGTATCTTCGTTATTGACTTAGATTGCAATATTAGTTTGATGTTATTTTTTATTTTTTATTGGTCTCGAACTCAATTTGTCTAACACAATGGATGAAGGGCTTCCGAAATCATCAATGTCGAAATCTTTGTCTCATTATCTCTAGTATTGGTGTCATCTTCAACTTTCAAAGACCATCAATGGGTCGATAACGTTTATTATGACTTGTTCTTTGTTTATTTTTCTTTCGAGCGGGTGGGTGTTTCTCCTCCATCTCCGACATCCCCTTAAATCTTCTTCTTCAACTCTCAAATGGCTTGTGACTTTTGACTCATCCCTAAACTCTCTCTCTCTATATATATATTCCTTTATTACTTTTAACCACGGGATATTATCGTAATATTTTAACTCAACTCAATTTTGTCACCTGCCAATGTTTTGCGAAAGTTTTAAACATCATTTTTTTGAATCTTCTTCACACTTTTTGTTACTACTAATCGTACCAAAGGCCAGAGAAACCTAAGAGTTCATTAATTTTTTTTTTTTATGATGGTCTATCTTAATTTGAAATGGCTTTTATTTTTTTATTAGAAAAAAAAAAGAGTAATAAATAAGTACCAACGTACAAACTTAATTAAGGGTGCAATTAAAATCCATTAAAAGTAAGAGTTAAAATTGAAATGATTTACCAACGGTTAAAATAGGCGGAAGTCAAATTAGAATTAATTATTTAGAAAAATCAAAGTACAGTAGAAGAACTTAAATTTGGTAACTGGTCAACGTGTTAGAGTGCTTCTAGAAGAACAATTTTTCTACAAAACTATTCTAATTAACATAAATGAAGTCATCTTGACTTTGGCATTACCACCTTACCCAAAAACATTGTACAATGCATCTTGTCCTCTAGAATATTCTAGAGTACAAGGTGGATGATATTTTATATCATAGCAAAGCTAGACGTCGAAGCAGGGAATGTGTGCGTGTGATTGGAACTCTAATTCTCTCTCCTAAATTCAACGATACAAAGTTGTCAATTATATCACAAGAGCCTACGTTACAAAGATGATCT